AAGTGGCAACCACTTGAGATCGGTATCATGATGGGCTGTGTGATTTCCCTTCTTTTCGTTTTGGCCATGGAACTGATTTTACGAGGCGATCAACCACAGCCAAAGGAGTGATGACTGAAGAACAGCTAGTCCTTCCTCCTTCTAGGGCTTTTTATGGATGATATCACAATTCTCGTCTCTTCTAAAATTGATGCCAATAACCTGTTAGAAAAGTACCAACGATCTTTTCATATGGGCGAGAATGAAGGTTAAGCCCAAGAAAAGTCAAGCCTGTCATTAGTTAGGGATCTGTTAAGGAGATTCACTTTAAAATTGGTGATGACACGATACCAACTGTTAAGGAAATGCCAGTAAAGAGCCTCGGACGGCTATATACAATCCCACTGACTGATCGACATCGGGTACGGAGGTTCATAAATCAACTCTAAAGGGTCTAATTTCGTCGATAGAACCTTTTGCCTGGCAAAATGAAAGCCTGGTGCTATCAACATGGTCTATTACCCCGCCTTTTGTGGCCTCTGCAAATGTATGAAATTGCATTATCTCGTATTGAGCTTAATTGAGCAAGTGATCAATAAGTACTTTAGGTAAGTGGCTTGAGTTCCACCTTGTTTTTTCAGTGGGCCTATATACCAACTCCGGACATCTGCAGCTCCCTATACATTCATTGTTGGAGGAATTCAAAGGTTGGGAAGGTACGCCTTCATATGATGATGAGAGACTCAGCTGATGATTTCATACGGAAGGCGCATCCAGAGATTAAATCTGGTACAAAGTGGTCAGCTGCAGAGGCCACACAAGAAGCAGAAACCAGTCTGCGAATCAGAGATATCATGGGCGTGATTCAGAAAAAATCGGGCTGGATTGGGTAACACGACACACAAATACTTCTCCAAGGAGAATGCAAAGGGAAAAAGGCGTATGGTAGTTGAAGAAATCAAAATGTTCAAGAGGAGCATAGAATAGCTACTGCTATTACTCAAAGCAAAACAGTGTAAGTGGACAACATGGAATGATATCGAGCCCATTAAACTTTCGTGGAATTCATTAATTGCGATGGAACCATTGGCGATATCTTTCCTTCTTCGATCTACATACCATCTTCTCCCAAATGAAACAAATCTCAAAATGTGGGGATACAGATACAGATCTCTGTTTTTCGTGTCAAAAGACCGAGGTACCTTTAAGTCATGTGCTTTCTGCTTGTCCACATTCGCTGCATATGTACACGTGGCGACACAACAAGGTATTAGAGGTGATAAGGGATCTAATAAGAACACAATGTGAGACAGCAAATCAACAGCTTGTGGCATCCAAGGAAACTAAGATTGAATTCCATAAGGAAGGGAATGCCCTGCAAAGAAAAAAACAAACAACCCCCAATATAAAGCTGCTGAGGGTGCCAGTGATTGGAAGGTTTTAGTGGATCTAATGATATCCTTAAAATTTCCAATACACATCGCACAGACAGACAAGCGTCCCGACATTGTGTTGTGGTCTGACTCTAAAAAGACTGTCTTCCTAATAGAACTAACAGTCCCTTGGGAAGAGAACAGGGTGGAGGCGCACGAACTAAAGAAAAAAGTCTGCACGAGTCACTGCGTGCGAGTGTATGGAAAATGGTTGGGCGTGTCACGTGATGCCTATTGAGATTGGGTGTCGGGGTTCCTGGGACATTCGGTCATTTCCTTCCTTTCAAAAATAGGCATCACTGGCCGTTGGTTGAAAAGCGTTTCGACGCCTTCAAAACTGTTCAACACGCGTCAAGTTGGATTTGGTCGAGATCAAAACAAGCAAATAGAATGCGCAAACATCACGACCCTAATATGCGCCAAGTGAGATATTTGGCGTGGTCGTTTATAACGACTTTTACGAAAGCGTCAATAACAGCAAAACGCGTTCAAGAAACTTTCATTGCAGATAGATTTTACTTAAAGGAACAATTAGTTAGCTTATCTTCATACCCTGCCTGGTGGCAAACGCTGCTGGTGGCGCTAGGGGGTGGCGGTCCCGCCATAGCCACGAAACCGTGAGATCACCCCTGGTCGGGCGGCTGATGAAGACAGGGTATCGCACGTGCTAACACACGTTGTATGTTAAAAAAAAAAAAAAAAAAAAAAATATGTGTGTGTGTGTGTATATATATATATATATATATATATATATATATATATATATATATATATATATTAAGAGCTTAAGAGCTGCTCTATTGGGTGGCATTTTAGCTAGCTCTTGATTGGGCCTTCATCGCAATAGGTAAGTAGATACAATAGCCAACAATAAACTACAGAATAACTCACACTTGATGACTGCATTTAAGTATTACATTAATATTTAAACTTATCTTTTAAAAGTTCAACCATAATTCTTCTCCTGCCACTTAATTTAAAGAAAATTTGATGTATGTAGTTCCTTACTTTCTGTATCAAACAATTTTTATTTCATGGGTGACTTTACCTGGATTTTGCAATTTTGATTATTTCCAAATTGTAAAAATTATTATACAAAAAAAAAAAAAAATCAAACCATCACAGTAATGAAAACTTGGGAATCCAAAATTTCAGGATTGTTGGCCTGGAATGTTTTTAATTTGCTCACAGACTTGGCTGGATTCTAAAATGGTATATGTTGCACTACGGCCTCTAGGAGTAAAATTAAAAAAGTGTGACACTGACATTTGCATTTTCTTTATATAAATATATAATGTGTTTGATAAAATATAGTTTTTAAGGAAGGCTCTATTTATGAGAGCATATATAAACAATGTGGACACAGATATTAACACTGGATTCTAACAGTTTCATGTTTAAATTGTCGGGCCATGATCACCTCCCCAATCTGACAAAGTATTAGATTTTAGTGGGGAAGGTTTTCAGATTAGAATTTTTTGGCATACCATCATTTGGTCATTGGATCAGCTCTAGCAACATCTGAAAATAGCCTCATTTCTTGAGTAATAATGTTGGCTGTTTAATAAACTCAACTTGCCTAGAAATGTTTTTTAGGCTCAATTTGTCACAGTTCTTCAATGATATGAAAAAGTATATTACTTCAGTTTTGAACATTTATCAACCATTATGCATGTAAATGGTTGATCAATTAAAAAAAAAAATCTAGTAAAGTTGTCTCATTTATAATTTAATTTTTAATTTAGTTTGTCTGTATTTAAAATTTTGTTCATTTGTAGTTATATGCCTACAATGTTGCTGCAGACATAGTGACTAGATCTGATTCCTAGTATTGAAGTGTCTATGCCCTCCAGAATAACATATCTTCCAACTAACATCTAGAATTTCCTTTGACACTTAACAACCATTATATATTCAAACCTAAAGCAGTGTTTGTTTCTGTGATTGCATTCCTGGCTTAAACACGTCTAATTTCAGATAATGAAATGTAATAAAAGGTTAAAAAATAATCTTTCTTTCTCATGAGGAAATGTACCAGAAGACCACTTTTGGTTTTGTGAAGGCAGTGTGAGAATTTTTCTTTTTCTTTTTTTTTCTTCTTCTAAAAAAAAAAAAAATGACAACTGCTACATTGGTTTTAATCAATGAAAATATATCAGCAAACAATATTCTTGAGTAGTGGATGCTTTGTCCAAGTATTTCAGTAATTGATTTAACAAAAAAAAATTGGCATTAGGAGCATTTAATATGAATATACTTCTTTCTAAAAGATTGATTTTGATTATAATAGCAGTTGTAAGAAAAAAATTGTCCTTTATTGATTCTAACATTACAATAGTAGAAAATAAGTAATTTTGGCATTTTTTTTTTAAATTTTTTTTTATTTATGTAAAAATGAGAATCAACTATAAAGAAATCTTTATACACTTGAGATGGTACTGTGAATGATCACACATGTTAAAAGTGGCTTGCAAAGTTTCATTTTGCTGAAATCAGTAATAACCAAATGAAGACATTAGGTGAGGATAATCAATATTATACAATATAGGAGTTAGTTAACATACTCAAAATATCTAAACCAAGTATTGAAAATCATTTAAACCAGCTTCTGTTAATTGCTTTTATGTGTTATTCATCTAAGTTAAACAAAAACCAATTGAAACCTAATGAAAATATTCAGTTCTTGAAATAAATTGTGACAGCTGATGCAAAGGGGATACTTTACAACATGGAATGTAAAAGATAGTGGTGAACCACTGTTAATCATATCAAAGGTTGATCTTCATCCAAGAAAGGTAATTCATGGTAGGATTGAAAAAAAAAAGAAGTCCCTTCTACTGTTAGCTCTTTCCAGAGACTCAATGTCACTATTAATAAAAAGGTTTTAGAATTGGTTAAGAGAACGTGTAATCATAATAATGCATGTTTCTTTGTTGACCAGACAAAAATTAAAATACCTTAATGGGAAGTTTTCACCAATTTACCTTGAATTTTTGTGAAAACAGCACTAGCAATAACTGAGCAGTATTAAAGGCAATTAACCAAGACAAGGTATTCCTTGACGGTGGAATGAGAACAAGCTAACTTTGTAGATTGAATAAAGGGTTCAGTTCAAAAGTCCCTGAAGGTTATCTTGATCAACAGACAGCTGAAGAGAGCCAGAAACATTGTAATTGTAACAACAAAGGTGAGAACATTAGTCCAACTATAGATAACTCCTTGTCACAAAAATTAATCATTTTAATCTTGTATTTGTCTGTTCTGAGAATTCATCACATTTTGTAAAGATTTATCTTGGTTTCATATTTTTCTTTCTGCCAGTTGCAAATCCCAGGAACATGACAAATATATTAGCCTTGGAGATGGATTCATCATCCACTTGTCATTCCATTAAGGGTCAGGTTCTGACTTGTTTTTGGATCAGTATAATCCTAAGCCATAAAATACCTTTTAAAAGCTTTCAAAATGACATTATTCAATTCACTGTACCCTTTTTACTTTTAGATATTTACTTCTTTCCCCTTCTCCACCAACTTCCCTTTCAATGCAACTTAGAATCTTTTTAATCATTTACTATTGAAGCAAAGAATGTTTCTTTGCTGCAGGGAATCTATTCATGTAAATACAAAAAATATTATTTTTGAAATGAATGGATTAAGATTTATCTTTGTCTAACAAGGAATACAATTTTATAAATTTAAATTGTATTAGTAAAACCAATGTGACACTTAATGCATTTTTTATTTAAAAAAAATCAGTGAACACTGCATAAATCATATTTGCTTTTTTTTTTTTTTTTTTTTGGCAGGGGGAGTTGAAAGAGCAAAAAAAAAAGTGTGGGAATATTATTACACACATATATATATATATATATATATATATATATATATATATATATATATATATGTTTTCCTTTTATTAAGTCATCAGTGTCACCTAACTTGTCTACAGGTATTTAACCTTTTTGCATTTTCACTTTCATCCTTTGTATGTTATATAAATTAAAGTAGTTTTAATTTTATATCAACTGTAGAGTTGGCTGAAATACAAGTTTTTATATTGTCAGCATATTGTATAAATAATTACTGTGGCATTTCATCAAAAAAAGTGAAGCAATTTTACAGAAGTGGTTCTCTCTAATACTAAATTGTATTAATATTTTTTTCTTTAAGTATCTATAAAGAAAATATATTTTAAAACCTTTTTATTAAAAAAAAAAAATGCTGTTTCCTTCAAAGTTCAGGATTGTTGCTATTTAAGTAACATCATTCATACTATATTATTTTGAAAAGTAAGCTGAAGGAAAAGAAAAATAAGGCTAAAAAATTATTTTAATTTGATTTCAAAAGACTCCCTTTGTTAATTGAACATTTGAATGTGCTTTTTTTAAAAGAAGAAAATATAAATAAATGCATATCTTTTAATATTATTTGATTTAAATATATACTGCTAATCAGTCAAATAGTTTTTTTTTTTTTTTAATACTTTAACATCCTCATTAATGTGTGCGACACCCAAAAATGGTATATTTTTTTTCCTTTCTTTCAGTTCTAACAATCACTGGCTTCCATATCTTTTCTGATCTCATTTTCATATCTTAAAGAACTCATTCCTATCTTGGTGGAAACATGATCGATACATTTGTAAAATGTTAATTTTCAAATTTTTTTTTTTTTTTTTTATTGTAGTAAAACTAGTTTCTATTTTATTTTTAATTCTACAAAGAATGTGGCCAAACATATTACATCAATAAACACACACAGTCTTGTCAGCCATGATGTAAATAATTCAGATCTGAAAAATATTATGTAGAAAAAATGTAGTACAAGTAAACAGAACTACCACATTCTCCTGTGAAATAAAAATTATCAATATGAAAAGATCCATAGATTCAACTTCACTCTGCACTGTACTGTAGTTGGAATTCTTATAACTTGATATTGTTACCTGATACAAATCTACTCAGTAATTGGTGGGCGGGGGCAGAGAACATAGCATGATGTAGTGAATCCATATCCTGAGGAAGATCTTTTCATGACTAAAGTTTTTCAGGATCAGGTTTTACTTTCAGAATTAGTATAATCATTTAGGTGGCCAATAGAAGTCACAGTATATGCACTTAGAATTATAGGTCAAGTTAAACATCTCAGCAGCCTCAGAAAATTTCATGCCATGTTCTTCCTCATTTGTCCACACATGCTTGTGGTATCCAGGTAAGCAAACATGTCAGAGAAATGTCAATGACAAATTTTTCTGTGTGGTGAAAGAGGGCATTTCTATTGGTTACTGTATATCAAATCTGATAGAATTGGTATAACTAACCACAGACCTGAACAAGAGTATAAAGCTTTTCTTTAAATATTTAGACTTTGTGACAATATAAAGAGTCACTGATAGTAGTTAAAAGGAAGGTGACACCATTGTGATTCTAGTTATTTGTAATTAGGAATTAAAAGATCTCATGGAAAAACCCATGTAGAATTGTAGCATTGGAAGGGTTGAAAAAATATTAAGTGAGAAACAGGAATTGAAATATGAAACAAGGAAGAAAGTTTTTTTTTTTTTTTTTTTTTTTTTAAGACTGGAATGTTAAACAGAAAAATTTGAAGTAAATAATTTTGTTTTTGAAAAGTTGACTGCTGGTATTTGAAGGTCATCTGTTGGTCTAGGACTGAATGTAAGTAAAACCAGAAATGCAAATGAAAGGAATTGCTGAATAGAATGTGGAGTCCAAAATATGTTTGGAGAAATGTAAATCATCTGGAGTGTGTTTTGACAATGGAATTTGAAATTGGGTTGAATTTTGGAAATAGAGATATAAAGAGAATTCATTGGAATTTGACAAACAAAATAAAATTCTTTAGAAATATTTTATTAAAAAGTGCTGATGGGGATGAGTGGTTGTTTGATAAAATGGCCAAATGTTGCAAGGAATGCATGAAAACTGTTTTGGAATATCAGACCACTTTGTTTAGGGTCGATGTTGTGTCTCCAGGGTTGGGGAAAATAAATTGAGGAATACATAATGGGCTTTGAGGGTTAGTGAAAGTTAGGCGAGAGGCATATAAAGTGAACATTCAGTTGAAGCGAGTTGCAGTTTGAGTGAGGATGCAACCAGAGGCCAGCAAAGGGTGCTAGAGTCTGGCAATGGCTGAGGGTCGTCAGAGGAGCCACGGGACCTGTTGCCAAAGAGAATTGCTGACATTGATCCAGACGAGAGAATTGATGACAAGAAGTCCTAACAACTCGTGTGAATGTTTAACCCACTCCAAGTTTTAAAAGCAAGAGATACAGTATCATGATAGAGAGTCGAACAGGAATGGTTAATTTTGTTGTATCAATGATTATATAAACCAATTGAAAATTTTAACCCAGTGGCCTTCTTCATTATTTAAGATATTGGTGTTTTCATTGGCAGAAGCATTCTCGTCCTTTTCCTTAGCATGGTTCTGTCAACTCGATTCAGGACTTCAGTGTGAACGAAAATTCGATCTTTACTGCTCTGGGATCAAAGAACACAACGTGGGCAGAGCGGATGAATGAAGTGGTCAACAGATAACCATCAGTTGACCAGCACCAGTACTGACCAGTGTGGGAGACCCCTCTGATTGAGCTGGGCCAACCATGTTATAATTTGAAGATAGAAAGATTTTAAGTCTGTATATTGCCAGAATATTCACCATTTCATCAAACCTTTATAGGGGATAAGCAGCTCATAGTGTGAAATGGTTTACAATCTGAGAGTAATTGACTACCATTCTATTATGTCACTATCTTGATTTCATAATTAACTGGACTGTAGATATTGGTAAGAGACATATAAAAACTGACTAATCTAGAGACTTCTATCTAATAAAGGTTTCTTCTTACTGGAATTACACGGATGTTTAATGTCATTTTATAAAATCTTGTTCAAAGATGGTATCCGCACATAAATCAAACAGCACAGCAGTCAGCTTCACATTTTGGTATTGACATTCACCAAACAATACACAACAGTTTTAGAGCTTAATGAAGTTGTCATTGTTAGAACCTAGGTATGAGTGCAAATGTAACCTCAGAACAAAAGATCTACATAGAAAGGGCTACTTCTGTCCATGACTATAAGTGCTCTGACTCTTCCTATTTCAATGAGGTAGTAGCAGTAGGTAAAATTTCTGAGGTAGCTAACATCACAAGTGTTGAATGCTGAAGAGTAGTAGATTTTTCAGACTTTGCAAAATCACTGATTCTCATGATTACTGAAGTTAATAAAAGTAGAGCCTATTAGTACCTAAATGGGTTACCATTTTGAAATACTAGGTGCTGTCAACTTGGATGTGTTGGTGGGATAATGGCTTAGAATTGGAAATCAGATAGCAGATTTCCAATTTCTGTTGGGTTTGTTATATTCACTTACATGAAAATAGGTTTGTTATATTCACTTACATGCAAATACCCCTGAGTAAAGGTATGAATTCCCCCTCACCTCCCAACAGCTATGGGTTAATTAGTAGGACTTGTATCAGTAAAAGTCATTATCTCAAATTCTTACAATCTAAAAATATTTTCTGGCTTTAAATAACCTGCAAAATATTGATAAACTGTAGAAACAAATCAAGAAATAATAAACTTTGCAAAATGGCTCTTTTTATCATATCTATTACATGTAGCTTCTTACTGTGTTGGACATTTCTGGTGGGTGCACCTATTCTTCTGACAGAACAGTTTCTGTCACTACTAATACATGTCTGTATTATCATTAGAAGGAACTGTTGCGTTAAAGGTATTTTTCTAATGTAGTGTATGATTCTGAACTCTTCTGATCCTGTTTCACAACTCTTATTTGATCTGAGGCAGTTGTAAGATCAAACATTTGTTCTCATGTAGCCACTAGCATGGTATTAAATATTAGATCACTTATAAAAGCATCACATATAACCTCTTCTTTAGACATTTCAATACTGACAGCCCTGTAATTAGTCTCCACTCCTGCCTTAGTGCTTGTAGATATTCATTCAATTCCTCCCACCCATGAGTGGTGGCTAATAAATGCCTTTGCATGCACCTCATATTTTATTTATTTTTATTTTTTTATTTCACATATGTTGTGCAGAGTACATACATCATTTTTGAAATTAGAAATATCTTCATACACAGCAAGCAGTTAATGAGGACATTCAGTTATCAAGACGGTGTTGCACAATAGCTTCGAATGCAGTATGTCACTACAATAGAACTTAGTTGATTCAAATCTCTCAGGTCACAGGAATTTATCCATAGCCCAGTTTGAAGTCCATTATATTTCTTATTTGAATAAATTGTAGTAGAACTCATTTATTTTTAAAGGTTTTATTCAATAAATCACATGACAATATACACGAGTCATTTGTATTATTTCAATTAGAAATTGTCTATTATCTTCATACAAAAAAGTGGTGTATATATGCATTCTTGTCAGTCATGATCCTAATAATTCTACACAGTCACCAGAAGTGTTATTAAAATGCTGAAGAATGTATAACAAACAAAATTATCAATTTTATTTACACTGATTTTTTTTTTTTATATGTCTCAAATCATTTTTTAAATTCCTTCAGTTTCATCTATTCTATCTACCCAAGTTGAGAAATTCATTTTTGAACACTGCTTCATATTGATATATTGGATATAACTTGCTTAAAAGATGCGCTAAAGAAGACTGGAATTTATTATCTCAGATATTGAGCAAATACAGCTTAGATTCATCTGAAGTTTCTTGGGTTGTCTTTAATATAAGAAATAATAGCAAAAACTGTCCCTACTGCTCTTCGCTTTCTTTCTCTGCCTGTCCCTACTGCTCTTCGCTTTCTTTCTGCCTGTCCCTACTGCTCTTCGCTTTCTTTCTCTGCCTGTCCCTACTGCTCTTCGCTTTCTTTCTCTGCCTGTCCCTACTGCTCTTCGCTTTCTTTCTCTGCCTGTCCCTACTGCTCTTCGCTTTCTTTCTCTGCCTGTCCCTACTGCTCTTCGCTTTCTTTCTCTGCCTGTCCCTACTGCTCTTCGCTTTCTTTCTCTGCCTGTCCCTACTGCTCTTAGCTTTCTTTCTCTGCCTGTCCCTACTGCTCTTCGCTTTCTTTCTCTGCCTGTCCCTACTGCTCTTCCGCTTTCTTTCTCTGCCTGTCCCTACTGCTCTTAGCTTTCTTTCTCTGCCTGTCCCTACTGCTCTTTCGGCTTTCTTTCTCTGCCTGTCCCTACTGCTCTTTCCTTTCTTTCTCTGCCTGTCCCTACTGCTCTTCTCTGCTTTCTTTCTCTGCCCCTACTGTCCCTTTCTTTCTGCCTGTCCCTTACTGCTTTCTTTCTTTCTCTGCCTGTCCCTACTGCTCTTCGCTTTCTTTCTCTGCCTGTCCCTACTGCTCTTCGCTTTCTTTCTCTGCCTGTCCCTTTACTGCTCTTAGCTTTCTTTCTCTGCCTGTCCCTACTGCTCTTCGCTTTCTTTCTCTGCCTGTCCCTACTGCTTTCGCTTTCTTTCTCTGCCTGTCCCTACTGCTCTTCGCTTTTTCTCCTGCCTGTCCCTTTCTCTGCTTCCCCTACTGCTTTCTTTCTTTCTCTGCCTGTCCCTACTGCTCTTCGCTTTCTTTCTCTGCCTGTCCCTACTGCTCTTCGCTTTCTTTCTCTGCCTGTCCCTACTGCTCTTCGCTTTCTTTCTCTGCCTGTCCCTACTGCTCTTCTTTCTTTCTCTGCCTGTCCCTACTGCTCTTGGCTTTCTTTCTCTGCCTGTCCCTACTGCTCTTCGCTTTCTTTCTCTGCCTGTCCCTACTGCTCTTAACTTTCTTTCTCTGCCTGTCCCCTACTGCTCTTTTCTTTTTCTCTGCCTGTCCCTACTGCTCTTCGCTTTCTTTCTCTGCCTGTCCCTACTGCTCTTCGCTTTCTTTCTCTGCCTGTCCCTACTGCTCTTCGCTTTCTTTCTCTGCCTGTCCCTACTGCTCTTCGCTTTCTTTCTCTGCCTGTCCCTACTGCTCTTCGCTTTCTTTCTCTGCCTGTCCCCTCCCACTTCTTTCTCTTACACCTAACTTTGAACAGATGGGATTGGAGAGCTGATAATTGATTTGACAAGAATTAAAATTTGCAATGCACAATACTGTGCATATTTTTAAAAGATTTTTAGCTAAGGTTGACTAGATTATAAACTACAAAAGTAAAAGATAAGAACATTTTTTACTTTACATTCAAAGCATAGTTTTCTATTTTTTTTAATCAATTTATTCATGCAGACAAAAAATGTCAAAATTGTAGATCTCTTTTCATTAAGAATATAAAAAAAAAAAACTTCCATTTTTATGAACTTTCACCATTGAGTAAGAGAGCGTCAATGGCGCTGTATTTACAACAGTTGTTTCTTTATAATTACTTACATTTCAAATAAAATAAGATTTTGGGAATTAGTGCTAATGAAATACTTGATATTGCTATCAGCATTGATAGCCACCAATCATAAAAATTAGAAAAAAAATATAGCACTTGATAATGTTAATACAAGCATCCCACTATTTTTGATGCTGTTTATATATTAAAAAATAATTTTGTCAACATAAAAAATACTCTTTTATCGAGCGTTTTTTTTTTTTTTTTTTTTTTTTTTAACAAATGTTTTAGAAATGATCCTGAAAATACCCATATCTTTTTTATAAAGATAACTAATCTCATCAACTTAGTTTTCTTGAAGAGTTTATGACTGTAACCTCTTGAAAAATGAGAATCTAAAGGTAAAGAAAGATATCTTTCAAAAAATAAGTGATAATTTAATAGGACAGTTGAAAAAAATCCAATAACTAAAGTAGTCTAAGATCTATATTTAATACTTTGAGGCTTCAGAATTGGTTTCAAGATGAAAACATACCAACAAACAAATATTTTGAAAAGTATGCAACAAATTACTACATTGAAAGAGAAGTGATAGTATATGAAATAAAAATGGCTAAAGATTAAAGAGTGGTTAATCAAATTCTAAAACATCCCAAATGAAGGATTTAAAGGCATTGCTAAAAGTAGTCAAATATTTTGTCCATCCGAAAAAAAAAAAATCTTCAGGTCAGAAGAAAGAAAAAAAAAAGAAAAAAAAAGGAACAAGGAACAATCAACCCACAATCAATTACTTGTTCTGGGTAGAAATGGTTCTTCATAATGACTTACAATCTGGAACGCTTAGTATTGCTAAAAAAGAAAAAATAAACAAATGGAAGAAACATTAATGTTATGTGCACCCCTTTTGTACAAGCGATATAAGAGCCCTTATGTCACTTAGTATTGCAGATTATCATTTCTTTTGTTGTCAGCATTTTTAATATTTTGATCTATAATCTTCTATTTTGTCTACATACAGAAATTTTTACCTTTTTATTTATAATTAATTTTTTGAATGGAAAGAAATAAAACACTTTGCAAGATGTTACTTAATTTTTTTTTTTTTTTTTTTATCACCCATTGTCTTTGGTGTTACACTTCACTACCAAACATGGGAAAACCACTACTGAAGTCATCTTTTAGGTCTCTGGTGTTTTAGTGCTTGACTTAGTTTCATTTTAAAATGTTACTGCTCAACAATGTAATAAGATTGAGCCAAGAATCTTTTGGTTCACACGCAAAAGCACTCTAACTTACAAATTGGTACTTATAATCTAGAGTATGATTACTGTTGGGGCTAGAAATAAAACATTTAGCATCTATAACTCATTAGGTAATGGTTATGCTTGAAAATCAGAACATTCTACACTATCTGCCTATTCATGTACACAATCACAACCTAAATCAGACTAAATCTGCTTGATGAAATTTTTTTTTTTCAGTTTGGGGGATTATTATATACAATTTATTCTATTTAATGCTTTAGCTAATCTTTCATGGAATTATTACAAAGATAATGTTAATTTGAAGCACAAAGATCAAATGTCATGTGACTCTTCATTCTCTTGTTTGTATTTATTTTTTCAGTTTTGAAATACAGTAAAGATATGACTTTAATAATTTGTTACAATGAAGTTTTATAATAGAAACCTGTTGTATTTCACATATCAAATAACTTGAGTTATAGCTTTAAAATTATGGAAGACAAACAAAATTTAATATTGCTGATATATTTGTTTGTAGCATTGGTAATGAATTTTGCTACAAAACCAGTTCTCACAGAAAAGGCTTTGTGTATTTTACTTGTTCTAGTTAATGTCTGGCTTAAGCCACATGATTAGAGAAGTGCATCACTTTATTTTGGGAGTTGAAAGGCATCCTTTATCTTGTATGAATCATGAAAGAAGTGGTCAAGTCCAAACTACTTAACAAATCTTATGTAGAATAAGTTACAAACAAATGTTTATAACTCATTAAATATTAAAGACTAATCCAAACAGAATTTACACCTGTAATCATCAAATGCAATTCACATTTATATGGTTTAGCATTGATATATGCATTAATTTTATATAAATTAGTTTCTAGGATTTTATTATCAGCAATATTCAAGTTGTAGTTAAGATTGAATTATTTCTGGTACAAGTACTAATTTGAAACCCTTGACATGGGTCATTATAAGTGAGTAAATTGCTTTCTGCCAAAAATAGTCATTTCAAAGTATTTATATATCATACTTATGGGTTTGTAAAGTCCATTATAGTTATCATAGGATGTGTTACATGATAAATTATTTGTTTATTTAATGCATTAACAATTACAAGTAACAACAACACAAAGAAATTTATTTTTGGGATTTTGTGTCGGTATTTGTATCATTAAAAAAATAAGAAAATGACAAACCCACTAACAATCAAACTATTGAACTGAATCAATGACATCTCAAAAAAACAAAAACATCCTATTCTGTTGGGTACCGAGTCATATTGGTATCCAGGGAAATAACTGAGCTGATACAGCATCAGAGAAATCACTGGAACTAAGATAATCAAACACCATACACAGACTACAGATCATCAATAAATGGAAAAAAGGTTTTAAGAGCTTGTCCAAATAATAAATTACATAAAATAAAACCATAGGAAAGTGGTAGAGCTACACACTGCCCAGAAGAGATGATACTGGCCAGGCTCTGTATAGAACATGTCTATCATGCACTCATACCACCTAAAACGGGAGGAAGCCATTGTGTATGACATGCCAGGAAGAGTACACGGTAAGTTATGTTCTGACAACATGTAAGAACCTGAAACTAACCCGAATTGAATATTACCAAACAAATAATCTGATAGAACTCTTTACCAGGGTCAATCTGGATAACATTTTTAAATTCTTAAGAAACACACCTATTTACCAGAATCTGACATTATCCATTTAATAACAAAAATGCTTCTTGTTTACTAGCCACATTTCTTAAAAGCAACAAATATTTTTTAGCGTTGATGATTCCAATTCAAATTTGTACATTTTCCTTTTTTATGCGAATTTCCCACCATTTTATTATACTGAAATTGATTTTAAGAAAAATTTTGATTCAGTAATTGTTGAAATATGACTAAGCAGAATTTAATACAGAAGCTTTTATTTTTGCTTCATTATGACCTCCTTTTCTTTTTCCTTTTCTTCATCCTAACCTATCCCCCTCCCCATAAATGCTTATTTATTCACCAATTCTATTTTTGAGTAAGTATATGCTATCCTTGTCTGGTCTGTGTTGCACTAGAATATCTCTACTAATGGATGGGATGGAAAGGAGGTAGAGATATTGGCTTCTCTCTCTCTCTCTCTCTCTCTGCATTGCTCTCCTTACAGCTTGGCTACCAAATATGCATGGCTGCTGGTAACCATAATCAGAGCAGAAGAAGCAGATAACAGAAGAGACAAGCTTTCTAGAAATCAATAAATATCTTCAAAGAGAGCTGACATTGTCTAAATTTATTTGTCCAGTCATCTAAGAACTCATGCACTTGAAGATTGAACCAAACATGGAGAGCAGCCAAATCAAGTAGGCTCTGTCTTGAAGAGAGAACCAAGTATGTCTTGGTTTTGGTTTAGCTGTATTGTAAATTCTCATGTGAAAGGTGACCTGATAAAACTTATCACTTAATGCCCTTAATGGGACTTGGAATTGCAGTTGGTTTGGGGGTTGTCTTTGGCCTTTAATTGTCTCCAAGTTAGTCAATATAACTGAGTTAATCAATGTCTTCATATAGTTCATTGCACTCTTACTTATACTGTACAATTCTAACTCCCACTCTTCATCCAAGTTAAGCAATGTTTTGGTTGTTCCTATTAAGTGAGTGACCATTTGATTGTTTAAGATTCTTAAAATTGAAACAATTCTGATTTCAATTTTGTACAGCATTTGGTTTATTACTTGTAAAATCTTCACTTTTCATCCTTGTTTATCCATACAGATATGGATATACTGTACTTCAGAGTGTTCAGTTATTCTTTTAATTTTTTTCATATATATTTTTATAATTGGTTTCTGTCAAAAATAGTTTTGTAATCTATACCTTTCAATTTTTAGTAGTGTTATTTTTTCTCTCATATTTACCTCTCTCTTACATATGCATGAACTTATGATTTGCACTACCAGCATTTTAATGACTACGCTAAAAACTAAAAGAATTAAAATTAATGTTAAGTACTACAGCTTTTGCTGCTGCTACATTTTTTGTTACTTCAGATTTATTGATCTTTTTTTTCTATAGACAAATTAATGTATTAAAATTTTTATTTACCAATAAGCAACAAATTTAGTTTAATGTTCGTTTACTAAAATGCAGATTGGTAGTCAAATTGAATATCATGGCAATAAACTCATTTAAATATTCTTTTAATTAAAATTAACCATTAAATTAAGATGGTGATATATAAAGTTCTTTAAAAATAATAGCCACTTATGTAAAAGTGAAAGAATATTTAAACTCTATTTCCTCAGATTTGTCAAAGCAAAATTTTTCAGATATTTGCTTGTTGGCCAATCCACTCTTTGCTTATTAGCCTTTTAATTTTTTCAAATTTCTTTTAATTTCAATTGTGAAAATATTGACTTGCATAATAAAATCTAACCTAGTGTAAAATATTATCTAGTTTATATCTTCTCTCTTTCTATGCTTTTTTTTTTTTTTTTTTTGAGTACTTTCAAAGATGAAAATACATTTTGACAAAGCTAATATTCTTAAAAATAGTGTTTTATTAGTATAATGAAACAAACCTTTTCTTTTAAAACTACTTATTTCCATTAGGTCTTAAATTTTATCATTGTATAAGCTGTTTTTTATCACTGAGTAAAATGTCTTAAATGATAGACTTCATCATTAATTTAATTTATTTGTACTTTAAATATCAAGTATAAACTAATCTTTAAAAAAGGGCCGGAGTACCAAAGATCCCATTTTTATTTTTTGATTATAAGCAAAATATTTATTACTAAATACATGGTTATTGAAAGTTAAAAAAAAAAAAAAGTAAATATAACAAAAATTCTTAAATTTTATTTATAACAAACACAATACTTTGTTTTTGATGATATTCAAGTATTGCTGGCACCAACCTCTTGTTCCTTCATATTTGATAACTTTTTCTCCATGTTTAAATCAAATTTTAAAAAAAAAGAAGAAAAAATGTTTTTAATTTAGTTATTTACTGTATGGTATAACTCGAAAATCCTGTTATTTAATTCCAAAGAGATTCTGAAATTAAGTTTTGTAATTTGTTAAAGTTTATTGAATTTTGTGTCAGACTTGTTGAAAGAGCATTTGTTTGTACACTATCTAGTCTCTTCTAAATGGGTTTTCAATTTGTTGTTGAGACTGACATTCAATAGGGGCCTTTCCTTAAACAGATAAGCTCTCAACAGCTGACTGCAGGAAATATCCTGTATTTGAAGCTTTTAATTTTCTGCTTTTTCTGGCTTTCAATTTTACCATTAACCTTTCTTCCAGCTCTGTATCAAATTAGTTCTCTCAATCTGCAGAAAAAGGAACAGAAAAATAAATTAAAAAAAACTAATTTACTCACCTAATGACATTATTTTTTTGATGCGGGATAACCAATTTTACATTAAAACAACTTATCCTTTTATCTGTGCCACTAATGGAGTTGGCTTTATTGCATGCCCAGGCAACTCAAAATTGATTTTGTTTGGTAAGTCAATTTTAGCACCAACTGGTAAAAAAAAAAAAAAAAAGTGTAGGGTACTGTGAAATCTTGTGTTTCTGTTACAAATACTGCATTGACACTTTAACTTTCATTAGCAAAGTAACTTGTCCAAATGTTTTATTGATTCTTAAAGAAATTAAAAAAGAATAAAGTGACTTCTCACTTTCAGAAATGAGTTTTCCTCATCTTTTAACTTTAGTTGTTAACAGGTAAAAAATATACTTAGCAAATCTCTCTGAAAATTCAAATTTGTTATCAAGGCACTGAAACCTTTAAAAGAGTGTTGTTTGTGAAGAAAAACTTTAATAAATCAATGTAAATTAAGATGGATTCACATTACAGTGGACACAAATACATATTGTATTACTTAATCAGTTTAAGATAAAAAATTTTTTTATTGAAACCAATTACTATAAGATATCTCTACTGAATGGATACCACCCTTAAAATTTAAGTTGGTATCCATTCAGTAGGGATATTGTATCTTAACAATTGTTTTCAATAAAGAAGTTTTTCTTTATCTTAAATGGATTAAATTATGATTTAGAAATATTAAAGTCTGAAGTGAATTGGCAATAGTCAAGCTGATCAGGAGCAAAGCAACAAGACCTGATGGGATTGTAATAGAGAAGCTGGTAGATTTAGATGATTTTGGCATTAACAAAATCACAGAAACAATAAAATATACAACAGTGGTGATATACCAAAAGACCTTAGATCTTTTTTCATAGTACTACCAATGTAGCTAGTTGCAAATGAATATGAGTGCTATCAGCCTAAGAAACCACATAATGAAACTTATCCAAATTCTAATGAATACAGCACATAGCAGAACTAAACTGAATATAGGACAAGAACCAAACAGTTTTGGTAAAAACACTGGAACAAGGAATGCGATATTTATGCCCAGAATGATGCAAAGGATGTATAGATAATCTGTAAAATATGTAAAACCATTTGATAAGGTATGACACAAAGAAGTGTTTGAACTGCTAAGTAATCTTGAGATATTAGAATAATCCTGAAATTATACTGAAAGTAAACTGCTTGCATACAGATAGAAAAGGAATTCAGTAAATACACAAAATAGAAAGGGGGTGGAAGACAAGTATATCTTCTCACTAGGTTTATTCAACCTTTACAGTGAAGCAGTATTGAAAGAATTAGAAGTCCTACCAAGATTCATTATTGGTGGCCACGTAAGATATGCAGATGAAAGAAGACAATGTATGGTTGTCAGCAAAAGGAACGGCCCAAGATGCAAACTACGAATTGGAAACCCCAAAGTATGTATGAAAATTTTAACTATCTAGGAAGTATTTTCACAGATGACTGAAAATGCAATTCTGAAATCCAAAGGCACATTGGAATAGCAAAAGGTTCCTTCAAAAAGATAGGTAAATTAAGAAACAATAAAATTTCATTAGAAACAAATGAGTACTGAACTTTAAATAATATTGATCCTCTTCTATGGCATTCTGTGCTGGACAATTTCATGTCATATGAAGAGACTTGAGGCAACAGAAATGTAGTTCTACAGAAGGATGCTGAGGATACATTGACTGAACATGTGAGTATTGGATTTTTAAGGAAAATGAAAACAAAAATATACTTAGCAATAGAAAGGCAGTTGGAATTTCTAGGGTACATATGGAAAGAGGTCTTGGAGAAAAAGAAAGTGACAAATAATCTACCTAATGGGCTTTTTTTTTTTTTTTTTTTTAAATGGTTGGCAGAAAAATAGGAGGAGAGCAAAAACACAACAGTTATGAAGAGCGACAAAGGACAGGGAGTTGTGGTGAATCATGATTGCCCACATCTTAAGGAGTCGAGGCATATAGAAGAGCTTATTTATGGGAAAAGGTAAAAATCATGCATTTTTAAAACTTAAATTATAATCTATAAAGTGTCAGCTTTTAAAACCTATAATTATTAGAAATTTTATACTCTTCAATTAATGATCTAGCATTTTTCTGTTAAAATTTACTTTGTTTACATCTGTAGATGTATAAATAAAAGATGTATAAATAAGACATATAAATTTCAGTAATAAAAAGAATTAAGAATCTTTTGATACCTAGTCTATTTCTTGTCATATGAAAATTGTTCATAAACAGAATTTGATTTAAAAGAAGAAAAAAATCTTTGTAAAATTGCCATTTTTTTTATTTATTTTTTATTTTTTTAATAAAATATTGTATTTTCATTTCATTTTATTTGCTTTCTTCTTTATCCTTTTCTTTTTTGTGGATGTGTTGAATATTTTGACAAAGCCAAATTTTGGGCCCCTCCCCACCCCATCCTTGGCTGTCCACAGTTCACGTGTGTGTGTGTGTGTGTGTATATATATATATATATATATATATATATGTGAAAAGTGAATATAAATAAATATATATATATGTATAATTATTTATATATTATATGCGCGGTACTATATATATATAAAATCTATCCCAAAAGTCACCAAGGGTTCTGAAAGTTTAGTAACTTTTTTCAGATTTTTTTTTATAAAGGAGGCTTTGAAAATTAATCATGTGGCAAGGGGTGGGGGGAACAAACACAAGTAGTGAAATCTTTCTACTAAAAACCAAAGATCTGTGATTCAAACTCAAGAAGCTTATCGCCATTATGGTGTTAGAGATTCTCAAAGTTGTGGGAGTAATGGTT